AATTCTCTGCCTGAAGAGGTGGTTTTATCAGAGTCCATACAGATGTTTAAACAGCAATTGGATAAATACTTAACATACAGGGATATAATTTCTCATTTTATCACATGACAGGAGGCTTCGTATTTTGCATAATCTTTCTTTACTATCTCCATAGCAGCAAAGAAAAGAGTGACAAAACTTTTAACCAATCACAACGTAGAATAGGGTATAAGAGGTGTTACCTATGACATCATTTCCTCTTTCTTTGCTGCTCCATGACAAGTTAAGTACTAAATTTTGTGTTATCTATTCAACATACACTTATTCATTTACATGCCTTTTGTCTATCACTGTACCTTGTATATATTTGCCCTATTATTGCTCTTACCCTATCTGTATACCATGGGACCTTGCCTGGCTCCCTAGGTGTCTTTCACAGCTTCCCCGCCGTCTGTACTTTCCCTCCATATCTCTGTTTCTTCCAACGGCTTCCTGGTAGTTTTTTGCTCATTCGCCTGTTTGACACGAATGCCCGCGGTCTTTTCTGTGCGACCGCACATTGACTATTTGTTTCTTTCAACCGAACGCTTCGTTCGGCAGTTTGACGCGATCGCCTTTTTAGGCGTTCGCATCTATTTTCTATTCGCACGTTCGGCAGTTCGCATAGATTTTCTATTCGCACGTTCGGCAGTTTTATTATGCGAACGGCAAGCTTACAGTTTGCCGCCCAAACTGGGGGAGGTACTATCCTCCACACACTACGCCTGTCAGTCCGGCGGCCATCTTAAAGAGATAGACACTGCCTGATTTTTTCTGCTCCAGCTAATCCGGCAAGCAATTGGAAAGCCTTGACCCTTTTCACTCAGTGGGACCAGGTTAGTGCCTTACACTTGGGGTTGGTTTAGCCAGTTGGTCTGTACCTTATTCTGGCCGGGGTGAGCCCCCATTTTATGCTGCTAAACGGACCTGTTCATGCAGGTTTCCGATCACCTGGGTGAGCCCCAGTGAAACAGCCCTCTCCTCTTCCTACGACCTACCGGTCTCTAACCACAGGTTATTTAGTCCTGATACTATACCAACCCGGTCCCCAGGCCTCTCCACTAATCGTGCTTAGTGCCCTCACGCAATTTATCGGGTGAGCCCCGAATCCTCATTCTTTATAATGGAGGAATCACAAACCTCAGACCTCCAGGCCATGATAACAGCAGCCGTGGCTGCAGCTATGGAACAAGCCGCTTCCAAGTCGCTCCAAACAGACTCTGAAGTCCCCAGGCCCATCTCCCTGTGGGCGGTCCTGTATTTGAAAACACGGTTCATTATAAAGCGGACTCCGAAGACTCCGACTCTTCCAGGGAACACTCCCAACCGCGGAAACGCCATTGGAAGGGCAATGTAACCCCACGCAAGTCTAAAGGGTAAGCCCCTGCTGATCGCAGAAAAGCCACGGTTCGTGCTACCCACGATGCCACACAACTTTCCTCAGGTGAGGAAGATGTAGAACCCACTCAGGCACTAGCTGTGCTGGATGAATGGCAGGCGGCAGCCTCTGACCAGGGGGACTCCGACAGGGATTCCACGGCCAACTCTGACCCTTACTTCATAAGGGAACAGGGTCTGGGTGAGCCCCAGGACTCCATGGCAACATCCATGGATAACCCACAGGCGGGCACGGAGATTTTCCTCGACAATTCGGGCCTCCAAATGTTTGACCCAAGAAACATCCGGCACCCCCGTTCGGAAGAATGGTCACCACCTGAGTATTTGGCAAGGTTTATGCACTTCTGGCTCAGAAAATCGCTGGACAAGGAAGTAAGAAACCGGATGAGATCCGAATGTCCTCGCCCTAGTCTACCAGACAAAGTGACGCACACCCCCGAGTTTGACCCGCTCATGACTACATTCATGTCCCGAGGGGGTCGGGATCCGCGCAAGGGCATAGAGCGTGGCTTTAAAGGAGCGCAAGACAAACTGCTAGATGCCATTGGGCCACTAGCCAGAATCATGGATATGGCGGATGAAGCCTATGAGAGGGCTGACACTTTTACCCCAGATACGGTGCGTGAATGGGCACGAAATACCCGGGAATGGGCACAAAGGTGTTTCTGTTTCCTAGGGAACACCAACGTAGCCCTCTCTTCGGAGAGGCGCCGAGCAGCACTTTACCGTGTGACGAGACCAATCTTGCCACATTGCATTGGAGAAGCCTGGTTGCTCGCCTGCTGCCTTTGGACTATGGCCCCCTTTTAAAAGACTTTATTTTTCCATGCAGAAAAGCCATATTCATGCTTTTCTGCCGGTTGTTCGGTAGTTTCAATCTACCGAACAACCGTACGAATGACTGGACCACCTGGGAGCTGGAGTGTGCCGGCAATTAACCTCCCTGAAGCTGCGGTTAACCGCAGCTTAATTGATGAACGCTGGGTGGCCGCCGTTCGTATCCCGAACACGAGGTCGCGGCCATTTTAAACCATACGAATGAACAGCGGTGTTCGCCTCTATTTTTATGGAACTAAAATCGGACACAGTTTTGCGCGAACACCGCTGAAGCCGCCGACCTCCCTTCTTGTTCGGTGAAAGCACACGAATGACCCGGTGTTCGGTATTTTTGTGTGAATGTCTTATACCCCAGATAGGAATCCCATGGAGCCCATTCGTATGAAACTGACTGTAAAGACTTTGGCTCCATGGCGATTAAACTGCATTCGTGTGGTCTGAGTGCCATTCACTTAATAATGTGCGCTCAGACCTGAGCTATCTGGGGATATGTTACATGTCTGTGTTTTATGTATAAAATGTGACTTTATGTATTTTAAAGTGTTTTGTGTCTTTTTGCAACCATGTGCTTAATGGAGTCTTGTGTCTGTCCTGGGAGATAATTGAATTACTTATCTCCAGGATAGAAGACTCTGAAACTGGTTTGGGCCAGAAAGCCATGCTTCATTTAGTCACAAAGGACTTTTTACTAACTTTTGAACCCCTGGTCTGATTCAGGCCATTTTTTAATATGTTGTTCCCCTGAATGGATTGATTGTGAATGTGTAATTTTATGTGAATGTGATGTATGGTTTTAGAGTTATGAAAGTTGGGTAGAAAGTATGTTTTAACTGTATGTATAATTGAGTTTCCTCTCAGGATAAGGGGAGGGAATATGTGGGATGTAACTGTGATGTTGATTGGTTGTTTTATACCTCCCTGTGGGCGGTCCTGTATTTGAAAACACTGTAATAAAAACCAGGCTGGGTGTGCCAGCACCTCAGACCACTGCTTGACCCTCAACACGGAGCTTTGTCTCGTTCTTGGGGGATTCACTGTATGCTGTTAGATACTGATTGCCAGGAGTGTAAGCTTTTCCTGTTCGTCTGCTAGCTGCTATTTGGGAGGTTCCAGTTCGGGAGTTGGAGTGCTATTTTGTATCCAGTCTAAGAGTTTGGTGTTCTGCAGTAGCTGTGCCTGTATCTCTGGAAAGGGGGCCGATCGCCTAAACGGTTTTTACCCCTTTTGTGCAAAACGGTCCGTTACATACCGTATCGACGAAAAACTGGTCAAACTGGGGGACAAGGAATTAGGACCCTTAGCACAGGGTAAATTATTTGGAGAGGCCTTCCTTAAGGAATTAAATAAAAGGGTCAACATATTCACGTCCCTTAACAAGGCACAAACTTCAATGCGGAAAGTCTTCCGCGGTCCTCACACCCGTGGTGTTTTTGGAAGGGCTGGACGGCAGAGGGGCTGTGCCGCCAGCCGTTTTTGGCCATCCGGCCCCCGTACAACAAGGACTCAGCAAATGTTCTACCCAGACTCATCTAGTCGACATAGATTCCACCAATTCAGGGGATCTGATCGTGGCCGAGGCAGCCGAGGACGCTCACGAGCAAGATTCTCCAACGGTAAATTGGAATCTTACTCTTCCTCTAACCCCCTGTCATATCGCAGGTCGTGTTTCTCTTTTTTTCCAGAACTGGAAAGAACTATCTTCAGACGCGTGGATAATCCAAACGGTGCAGGGCTATCGAATAGAGTTCGACTCGACCCCGCTCCAGCTTGCCCCTCCACGTCTGATCCAGACTACACGGGCAGACGCCCGCCTCATAGATGCGGAACTCCGAGAACTTTGCTCCAAGGGTGCCATCCAACCGGCTCCGGATGCCACCTGTTTCTACAGCAATATCTTCCTGGTCAGGAAGAAAACCAGCGAATTTCGCCCCGTTATCAATCTCAGGGAGCTCAATTCTCACGTGGTATATCGACATTTCAAAATGGAAGGTATACATCTTCTCCGGGACTTGCTTCGACGCGACGACTGGTTCACTCGTCTGGACCTCAAAGATGCGTACCTTACCATTCCGGTACACAGAAGCAGCCGTCCCTACCTCCGCTTCTTCTGGCACGGGATCCCCTGGCAGTTCACCTGTCTCCCGTTTGGCCTCAGCTCGGCCCCGTGGTGCTTTACCAAGATTATGAAGCCGGTAGTGGCGAATATCAGATCCCAGGGCATAAGATGCATCATCTACCTCGACGATATCCTGATCTTCGACGAGGATGCAGAGACTCTGCGGAGACACACGGAATAAACACTACACCTTTTGGACTCTCTGGGTTTCGTCGTCAACCGTCCCAAGTCCGCATTGACCCCGGCTCAATCAGTTCAATTCCTCGGATTCGTAATAGACTCCACATCATGCACTCTCCACCTCCCGGCTACCAAAATTACGTCAATCCACAGGGAGATCCGGAAAGTCCTTCGTCGGACTACCATACCCCTACGATTACTGGCACGGATCGTAGGCCTTCTCTCCGCATCCATCCAGGCCATTTTTACCGGGCCCCTGCACTACAGGGCCATGCAACACCTCAAGGCAAGTTTCCTTCACAGACAACCGACATACGACCAACCGGTTAAAATGTCGGTTGAAGTTCGGGAAGAACTACACTGGTGGCTGAATTGCATGCAGGCTTGGAATGGCAGGGCCATATTCAGGAACCAGCCAGACTTCGTGCTGGAATCGGATGCCAGTCGTTCAGGCTGGGGAGCAACAGACGGAACCACGTCCACAGGAGGAGTCTGGACTTCCGAAGAGCTCTCGATGCACATAAATTGCCTGGAACTCTTGGCCGGGTCCTTCGCCATTCGCAGCCTGGCAAAGGATCGATCCAACTGCTGCATCCTACTCCGCATGGACAACGTCTCAGCGGTCAGATACATCAACCGCCTTGGAGGCACTCGTTCTCGAACACTGGCGGATCTCACGAAAGAGATCTTCGACTACTGCCTACCACGCAACATCACCTTGCTGGCAGAGCACTTACCAGGAGACTCCAATATGATGGCGGATTGGTACTCACGCCACTGGCGGGACGCCAGCGATTGGCAGCTAGACCCTCATATTTTCGCGCTACTGGATGCACAGAGGGGACCTCTCTACATAGACCTTTTCGCGTCCCGCAACAATCGACAGACAGAGGTTTTCTTCAGCTGGCTCCCAGACCCGGAGAGCCTCGCGACGGACACTTTTCTCCAACAATGGCCAAGGGACGGTGCCTACGCATTCCCTCCTTTCGCAATGATAACGAGGGTCCTTCACCGGATCCGTCTACAGGGAGTGAGAATAATTCTCATCACGCCGCTCTGGCAGAGCCAGCCATGGTATCCGGACCTTCTGGAACTTTCAATCAACGATCCCCTCCTCCTACCAGATGCTCCAACCATCCTCAGGAACCCATTGGGCCTACCTCACCCTCTAGTCCTGCAGGAACGCTTGCCCCTTGTGGCCTGGACTCTTTTCGGGGTTCCTGGAGAACCGAAGAATTATCGCAGGAAACTAAGGACCTGCTATGGGATTCATGGGCACCAGGAACTAGGTGGTGCTACTTATCAGCATGGCACTCCTGGACAAGTTGGTGTGTGGGACGGGACCTCAATCCCTTTACTGCACCTACTCACTCCATCATGAATTTCCTGACTTCACTTTTCACTGCCGGAAAATCATACCGTTCCATCAACGTGGTACGGTCAGCCATCTCAGCGGCTCATACTCCGACACAGGGAACTCCTGTTAGTAAGGACCCGCTCATTTGCAGACTTCTCCGCGGCATGCGCCTACGGCGCCCCCCGGAACCTAAATATTCTAGACTTTGGGACGTTGGTGTGGTCCTTCAATTCTTACGAAATTGGCCTCCCAACGAGAAACTATCACTCCGCCAGCTTACCGCAAAATTCACCCTCCTGCTCTGTCTGGTTTCCTTTCGACGGGTAGCGGACGTACGCGCCTTTGACGCCAACGCGTTTACCTTCTGTCCGGCGGGTGTCACCTTTCGGATCTCACGTCGCACTAAGTCCAACTCTCACTCGGTTTTCTACCCTTTCTTCCCTTCTGACCCTCAACTCTGCGTGGTCTCAACCCTCCGTCAATACGTGGAAGCCACCGCGACGTTGCGGCAGCCTTCCACTCATCAGCTTCTCATCTCTTACGTCCGCCCTTATGGTCCGGTTTCGGTTACTACACTGGCCAGATGGGTTAGATGGCTACTATCCCTTGCCGGTATTGACCAAACTTTTGGAGCACACTCCGTTCGTGGGGCAGCGGCCTCTTCCGCTTATGCGGCAGGCGCGTCCCTTTCGGACATTTTACGAGCGGCGGACTGGACCAGAGAATCTATCTTTAGGACATTCTACTTCCGCCCTCTTGATAATCCGGCATTCGCTTTTCTTTCACAGCGTTGAAATTGTAAAATACGAAGCCTCCTGTCATGTGATAAAATTTAAGATTATGCTAGCTTTAGTGTACAGATAATCTTAATTTTAATAATGACAGGAGGCGAGTATTTTCCCTCCCTGTTCTCTTTCGTTCTTCCCTCCCTTTCATTTTCACTTCTACCTTCTACACTTTGCTCTCTCATATGTTGGTATAATACCTGACGTGGTAGCTCTTGTTTAAATGCCTTATTTACCTTCGCTTATAGAGCTATATATATATATTGTCTGGGTGGGATACTTATTTAACACCACTAAGGGAGGACGTTTAGTTTATTATTATCATGTTACTAGACGATATTAAAGTTGAATTACGGGACAGACATCCTTTGTTTTATACAATCACTTCTGGACTCTAACGCACCTTATACTCTCGTTTCAGCTTAACCAGAAGCTACACGGAATCATTAAAGTCTCCATACAAGATGTCGTCATCATCGCATCAGGAGATTTATCATCAGGCCTTGGTAGACCATCGTTTGACAAGGAGACGCCTTCGTCTGCATTCTACCTGTTCCGGTTCAATTTATTCTGATTAAGTTTCCAGTTTCTTGTTCTATGGACTTCTCAGTTGTTCTATTATTTTCTACATTTATGAACTTGTGATGTCGCAATTTTTAAAGAGGAAATTATGTCATAGGTAACACCTCTTATACCCTATTCTACGTTGTGATTGGTTAAAAGTTTTGTCACTCTTTTCTTTGCTGCTATGGAGATAGTAAAGAAAGATTATGCAAAATACTCGCCTCCTGTCATTATTAAAATTAAGATTATCTGTACACTAAAGCTAGCATAATCTTCAATTAGTGGGGTAATAGCTGCTTGATCCAAGAAGACATCTGACTGCTATTATGGAGTCAAGAAGGAATTTTTTCCTAGTTTGTTGCAAAATTGGAAGCGCTTCAGACTAGTTTTTTTTGCTTTCTTTTGGATCAACAGCAAAAACATATGTGAGGAAGGCTGAACTTGATGGACGCAAGATGCTTTTCAGCTATGTAACTATGTAACTATATAATATAGTACTGATCAAGAAATTGGTCTTTCAATCAAGGGAATGTGAATTACACCACACTTACACTATGTTACTATGCTATGTATGAAAATGTTCTAAAACATTTCTGTTTAATTTCGCGAAACCTCTTTTAGGATTATCTCAGCATCCAACCCTTTGCTGGTATACTTCATTTTACTCACTTTCGCTTTCTTATTTGCCACTTTTATATTTTTTCTTGCCTCACATCATCCTTTTTGTTTACTTGTATCTATCTCTTTTCCCCAAATCAAGCTACACTTAAAACATTCTGAACAGATTACTGTTTAATAAATACGAATTTCTGATGGTAAAAACCCTTTAAAAGGCATTTTCTTAAATCCGTTTCTTCCCATAAATATAGAATTATGCTATCAATTTTATAATTTTTTGCAACCTGCTGCATACTCTAACTAAGCATAATAATCTTTAAACACTGTCAACTAGTTCATGCATCAATTGATGTAGATGACACTTGAATGATAATGTTTGCCATACATGGTTTTCAGCAATTTTAATTTAAATTAATGTAGCTTAATGTAGTTGTTCTGGTGAGTATAATAGTTCCCTTCAGGCTTTTTTTTCATGCAAACACTACCTTTTCAGAGAAAAGGCAGTGTTTACATTGCCTTTAGGGACACTCCTTAGATGGCCACTGGAGGTGCTTCCTGGGTCAGTG